TGTGTGTGTGTGTGTGTGTGTGTGTGTGTGTGTGTGTGTGTGTGTGTGTGTGTGTGTGTTGTGAGCAGAAGAAACCGAAACCCTACTGAGCCGTCTTGACACTAGAAGAATGAACAGCACCATCTACAGAGAACGACAAGATGATTTATTATTTTTTTTGTCTTGAGATGATGCGGTGGAGGTGGAGGGTTGTATGAAACTTGCACTGATATGATTTTATATAATTTTATTGAAGAAAAATGGTGTTTAAAATTAGAACATTCACTGTTTTAATGTCTGTTTTATCAGAAAACGTGGTTTGGAGCAATACTTCTCTATCAGGTCAGCCATAGCATTATGACCACTGATTAGGACTGTGTTGTCTGCAAGTAGTCATCAGGAAAGCTGTCAGATTAATATTTGCCACTTTGAGATTACTGCCACATGATAATTACATATTTTGACCCACACATACTTTCAAGCCCAATGAAGGCACAGAGCAGTTAACCCTACATTACAAACGTCCACATTGTGTAAACGTGGGTTTCAATTCACTGCTTACTATTTTAATCCACTAAAATAAGTTAGACTAATGATTTTTTTAAATGGAGATAAATTTACCACAGGTAATTTAGTTTTTTTTTTCACCTTGAAATTTTCTTTCCAGCCAAGTAGCCCACCTAAAATAATTGGTATTCCACCTACATACCAGCAAAAAGCAAGTTAGTAAGAGAAGTAAAGACAGCAAAAAGTCCAACATTTTAATTTTGGACGAACAGGCTGGCTTGAATACTATAAGACACTAATAGATTTTGAGCGCCATTATCTGATTGTAGGCACAAACAATTTAATTAGGCCACCAGGACCATGAATTGTCTGAATGCCACCGTGTTACAGAAACAAACAAAAAAAAATAGTGGCTGGTAAAAAGTTTGAGTGGCCGGTACAAAACTTTTTCTACCAGCCACTGTGGCTGGTGGGGAAAATTTTTAATTTCCACCCCTGCATACGTACACTGCTGCAGGGAAATGTGTGTAAACAAGGACAATGGATGAAAAGTAGCCATTGTGCTTCATCCAGCACATTTCTTTTGAATATTAATTAATAATTAAATCATTTTCACTGTCCTTTTGTAAAAGATTTCACGTGTATTTGTAATACTGGATGCTTCCTGTAGTCCCAAACGATTAGTTAAATTTTAATAAATAACACTGTAAAATATTGTGTTGTCTATATGCATACACTTTTTTAGAAATTTACAAATATCAATTTCATTTATTTAGTGAAAATAAAATGAGTGTAAACAGACATCATACTCATGGTTTGAGTAAAAAACTTTACACAGACTGGCAACTTGCAAAACCCAGACTCAAATGTAAAGTACTTGGAAAAAATAACTAGGTAAAAGTAAAATTACCTGAACAGAAAATGACTTTGGTAAAAATAAATGTCACTGTTGAGAAAACTAATTAAAGGCACAGTGTGTAGGATTTGTTGTTTTCAGCGACATCTAGTGGTTGAGTGGTTGAATCATCC